TCTTTGTTTTTTAAAGTTGTACCGCAGGGTGTTTGTCTACTAGCATTTTTAATTAGTTCTTTCAATGCAAAAGCTGAACAGCTGCTTTGCCTTCTCTTTAAAATCTGATTATTGCCAAGCTATCAGGGTGCCTTGATTCAGAAATATTTCTTGGAATCGTTCTTGTCTAGATGACTCTTCTGATCTATAGCCACATTTTGTCTACCTTTTTCATATAGAAATATCACCAGTTCTACACTGGTCTTGATTTCCTTACCAGATGGGCCTGCTGCTTTTTATTCCGGGAGCTCAGTAGGCTGGGCTAGTACTCTTGGGTGCAGAAGCAGGTAGAGGATAATCCAGTGTCCTGCAGACCTGTCAAGGGAATAAAAGAACATCCTTGGCCAAGGGAAGGTTGCAGCTGAGAAGCTGGAGTGCAAACTTTTGTTGGTTTAATGTTCAGTTCACAGCTTGGAGCTAGGTCACCGTAACTGCCTGGCGTCTTCTCTCCCCCAGGAGGTTAAGGCTCTGTTCAAAAACGAAAACTGCCCCAAAGTGATAAGCTGTGAGTTTGCTCACAACAACAACTGGTACGTTACATTCCAGTCAGATACAGATGCACAACAGGTAAGGCTGCCTCCGACTGTTCACGACTTCTCAGTTTTATTGTTAACGCTTCCCCTGCTCCAGAGAATCACACACGTGCTTCCTGTAGCTAAAACAAATGTTTACTTACTGGTTCCCCTTCTGTTATTTTAAAAGGTTACTGGCAAATTCTAGTTCATAGAGAAAAAAGTTGAGAGGCTGTAGGGTTATAATTCCCTTGTCTGCCTCGTGCCTCAGCGCTCTCTGGCCATAACTGACATCCAGTATCCTGAATTTGAAGTGTTAATGGATTTATCTGGGCTAACAGGAGAGCACGTTGCTACACGTTCGTGTTAAATCATGTGATATCCTTTGAGAAGTACAATTTCATCAAGATATTCTAATTTTAATCTTTTTTGTATGTGCAGGCGTTTAAATACTTAAGGGAAGAAGTGAAAACCTTTCAGGGCAAGCCAGTAATGGTAAGGCTGCTTTATATGAGGCTTGTTTTAATTGAATTGTATATGAGGCTTCTGCTTTAATTGAATTATATGGTGTTTCTGTTTGATGACATGCATTTATGGGGGGAGGAACTAAGGAATTAGCAGCGGGATGGTTGGTAACACTTGCTCTGTAGGCTGTTAACGTGAATGAGGCCATGGGTAGCTTTGAAAAATTACAGTTGAGTGGCTGCTGCTTGTTCATAGTGCTGCTTCCCAT